TCTTTCTAAGGTCAGGGTGAAGGAAATTGCTACCTTGGAAACTCATCTCCCCTAGAGGTCAGGAGGAAGCAACCACCTCAGAATGCAGAGAGTAAAAAGCACCTCAGGTGAATTCCACCGTGCTTGGCACTAACGTCAGGCAACTCCTCCTATGGTGAAAAGGCCTATTGATGGGTTTGATTCTTGAAAGCGCCCCACCAAGGAATGAATCAACGCCCCTCATAGAGGAGAGGTGCTTGCCTGCTCCACCATATTTTTAAGGATTACCTGATTGCCACTAACAGTCTTGATCAACAGAACCTGCATGCTAAGTAACAGGAACAGCCTCAGGTGAAAGTATTGCAAGGAGGGCTAACCAGAAGGGTGGAGATAAGCATGTTCCCAATAATTCTATTTTGCATCTGATTAATTTCCACAGCTGCCCGCCCTCCAGCCCTAGGCCAGTTCTCTGCTGCCAGCCTTGGGTTTGCTGGTAAACCAAACTGAATCTCTAATGAGTAAACTACATGGAAAATATTTTAGCATCCTCCTTGCTTTCTAGTCCTGTCTCCCATTAAGAGTAATAAAAGCAATCCCTTTTGTTAGGCCAACAGGCACCCTTTATTGGTAATCTTCCCATTGTGGTGAGGCAGGCATCATTTACACTATTTTTTGACAAGGACTCGGGCTCTCAAAGAGGTTAAAAAGTTGCTCCAAGCCACAATGCAGCCAAGCAGGAAGGTTACCTACCTACTTCCTACAGTCTGACTTCAAAATCTGCATTTTATTTCCTGCTGAGTCACAGGGCTCTCCATTCAGACATGACTATAGGTCAAGGTCAACCAGTTGGAAGCCCTACCAGAAAATCCCCTTTCCCAGGTGCCTCCCTGGTCACCACCCCGCAGAGTGGCACCCAGAACCTCATTTTCGGTCAAGGAAGAATCACTCAATCTCTTATCGCTCTTCCTCTTCTTGTCAGCTCCTCAAAGGCAGGTATGACCTGTCTTCTTAACTTTCGTATCATCTGGGCCTGCTGTACAGTATATGCTCAGTAAACATGCTGAATTGGCTTATGCACATCCCAGAATCCTTCTAGTGTGTAGCCTGTGGGAGCTTGTGAGAAATGTAGACACTGGGCCCCATCCAAGATGTCTTGAGTTAGAATCTGGGTTTAACAAGGGACCCAGGTGATTCACGTGAGCTATGATGTCCAGCCCCCTCCATCTCCTTAAACACACTGCTTTTTTCATACCAGTATAGATCAACTCTCTCCTTCCTATTTTGAATCACCAAATGGAACCACCCATCGTTTAAAGACCTGCAAGAGTTCAAGTGGTCTGAAGAAATGACTGCTTAAAATGTCAAGTGGTCCCTAATCTCTGTCAAAGAATTCACGTGAGAATCCCTAATCTCTTTCAAAGAATTCACGTGAGAATCAGTAGTGCCTTAGCTAAAGACTGCACTAAAAATTCCCCTTTTAAGCATAGGCTCATATGTAATAAATGTCTATTTAGTGCTCTAAGGTACTCTTAATCACTATCAGATTTAAAACAGAATTACTCATAGTTAAGTGCCCTATTAGTATTCTGAAATTTCTAACCTTTGGATAGTCAGCACCAACAATCCAGTTCATTGCCCACACCTATTTATTGAGCAGCTATTCTGAACAAGGCCACACAGGGATACGATGCTGGGGGTGGGGTTCCCTGACCTCCCATCTTCATACCGTTTGTACTATTTAAATGTGAGACTCAGTTAGACGCTTGCTACGATGCAGCCAATTAGACCACTGGCGTAAAGCAGCCAGAATACTGAGTCACTGGGCTATTTTCAACACCTCACAATCTGACCTCTTGGGAAAGAGAAGTCACAGCGTGCATGGGATCGGCATGGGACAGCCAGTGGTACAATCACATCAGAAGAACTGACGATTCGTGTAAAGAACAAAATACACGCTTATTTTAGAAACTAAGAAAGAAGACTTAGCTCTGGGGTTCTTAAGGTTCCAAAGGAAAGCTCTGAAAAAATTAACATATGAAGACGGTGATACAAAAAGTATACGCATGCATTATTGTTTTAATCTGAAGAAACTGACTTAGAATCTTTTTAACCTAAGAACAAGTAGCAGTGTTAAGAGTGAGCTGTGAAGATTACCAAGAGCTAAGAAAGATTGCTCCCAAAAAAGATGAATTCAACTTAATAATGACATATATCATCTCACCATCTTTATCATTTTCATTATTAAACAGCCAGAAATATAAAAATGGCCGAAACTGTATTAAAAGAACCAAATGAACTTAAAAAACAGTTATTATTTTTCACATAAAGATCAATTCTTAAGTCACCATCCAAACACGCGCTCTCATCAGACCAGGGAATTTTTGTCATCATACTAATTAGTAAAGCCTCACTTGGTTCTTTCCGGCATGGTTAACTCTTTGGGGGGTAACATTTTATTAATAACATATTTCCTCTAGAATGTATTCTTTTCTTCGGCCTCCACGGGAGTCACTCTGGGGAGTAGTGAGAATAAAACCGATTCTACATTTACACACAGTGGGATAGATCAGCAAATAAATAGAGGCATCGATTTTCAAGAAGAAAATGGCTAAAAGCAGCGCATTTCCAATTCTTCTAAGCCACACTCCACATCTCTCTGTGAGAAGATAATTACTGAATGTCTTTAAGTTGCACACTTTATTTTTAACTAAATCTTTAAGTAGACTGCTGAGAAATACCAATACAACTACCGGTCCCGGTTCAGCCCTGTAATGAAATACAGTTTTTTTCTTTTGCAAAATAGTGGCCTAGGTCAGAATAAGTCTTTTAAACATTCTATTTATGGGGGGGGTGGGGGGGTGGGGAGAGCACTATTTTAAAAGTAAATTTGGGGGCTATTTTTGGCAAACTTTTTCCTTTAAGGAAATCTTAGTGGCAGAAAGATGGAGCTGGTGTGTGTGCTTGAAATCGGATGGTGCCTCTCAAGGAGGGCAGCTGTGTTTAAGACAAGCCTTAATCAGCTGGTCAATTCACTGTTGGGACTAAGTTACTGTGAGACAGACAGGTGCTGGCAGAGCTCAGTCTTGCAGGAACTACTTCAGAACTAATTACCTGGGAAGTCCAAAGGGGAAAAACCAAGGAAAAGGTTTGCGTTCTAAATGATCAAGACGGTTCAGCTCGCCTCTGCTGATTAATGTAAGAACTACTCACTATTTTGTCTGTCAAGAAAACAGGCAAACCGCTTCCATGAATTGGGAGTGGACACTAAGGCAAAGACGAAGACCCTTCTTGAACACCTGTTGAACTCCAGGGCTTTTAACTTTCGGCATTAACCTTCCGGATACAACCTTGGAAGTTTTTGGACGTAGGGGAAGTGCGTGCGTGTGCTTCGGGTTTCCATATTGCTTAATCAACAAACCTGGTTACTAATTATTGATGAAACACAGGGCTGAAAACAAACTTTCTTACCTTGCGCACTTAGGGATTGCTGGTTTTGAATTTAGGCCCTTGGTGTCGGCCCCTCCCCGCTGGTTACTGACCAGGCAGGCGCAGCCCTTTAGAAAGGTCAGGGGGGCGCCCACTTGGGCTCGGGGGAAGCGGCACACTTGCCGGCATAAACCACACGCTAGCATCCAAGCTGGGGTGCTCCGGGGAGCCAGGCGACGCAAGGAACCGGGCGACGCGCTCTCCGGGCACAGCGGGGCACACTCGGCACCCAGTCCAGCCCGGAACCAATTCCGACTCGGGGACCCAGAATCACTGCGGGCCCAGGGCGCGCACGCCGCCCTCTCCGGGGGTCCCGAGCTCCTCGCGTTCCGAGGGAGCGCGCGGGGGAGCTCGGGGAGGGCAGCGGGCAGTCCCCGGAGCCGCCGCCCTGGAGCACGACCCCGTCCCCACCCGATGCTGCACCCCGAGGACCCCCAAATGCCCAGGCTTGGCGAGCCCGGCCCTCTGCCTCCCGCGCCGCCCCGCCTGGGCCACCGTCTTGCAGGACGTGATGCTCCGAGGGGCCGGACGCGGGAGGTGGGGGGACCTGCGCCCCCGCGCCCCG